GGCACCCTGAGGCCCAGAGGACCTGGTCGTCTCTGTGTCGCCTGAGAGGCAGCAGGGAAGCCAGCGGGCGCCAATAAGACTTTATTGACAAAAACAGGGGCCCAGGGGCAGTGGACTTATACTTCCTTTTGAGACTCTGTCCGTGTCTGAATGTTGGTAAGCACAGAAGCACAAAGGCACTCCCCATTTGAGGAAGGAAAAGAACCAGAGCCCACAGAAACCCATCTGCCATGGAGGCTGCAGCCAGCCTTTCCCAAGGGCATCGGGAGGGCCACACACAGATGAGTTCATGGGCAGAGAGAGACGCCCGGGCGTGGGAGAAGTAATCTAAAATGGCAGCCGAAAAGGAGTGTGTCCTCACAGGGACTGTCCTCCACCACGGCCCCAGAGCACCAGGAAAGCAAACCCGAGGGGCAGCACAGCACAGAAAGGGCACCACTGGGCAACGCAAGCTCCCGGGCAGTGGGCGCAAGCATGGCACAGCCACCTCCATCTCCCCCGTCCTTGACCTCTGGTCCCCCGGCGTCAGGGCCCCGTCAGCTTCCTCAGATCTGGCCACGACGCACAGAGGGATTGGGCTGACGGGGCCAGCAGGGCCAAGCAGCTTGCCTCCTGTCGCTGCCCTGCGCCAGCCAGGGGCCCTTCTGTCCCCCGAGACCGGCCCCAGGTGGTGGACTTCTAGCAATGACTGGCTTCTGCAGCCACCTCTGAGGCTGCCAGTGTAGCTCTGGGCACCATTGCTGCTGCCCACTCGTGGGCCAGGCACCCCTCTCCTGACTCCAGAGCAGCACGAACTTGAATATGAGTCACCCCCGTGGGGACCATCCGGACTCCCTCCTCTGCCTGGCTCCTCCCCCAGACCCTCCAACGCCTGCCCCGCTGTCCCCCTGCACACTGGCCTCTGTCCTGGGCCACTGGCCACACGGCTGCCTCAGGCCAAGGCCCCGCTGCCCAGGGCTCCCGCCTCCTGCAGGGCTCACCTGGATGCCACCTTCAGGAAGCCCCATCCCTGCTTCCCCCTCAGAGCCGCCCCGGCAGGCTGCAGCATCCCTCAAGGCAGTGAACAGGCTGCCTATCTGTTCGAGTTCCTGAAGGCTGCCACCTCAGTGACAGCCCTGGGGCTGGGCAACGCCACCCTGGAGGAGAAGCAGACCTCTGCCCAGGCGGACAGCTGCTGTAGGGGCAGCCTGGCTTGCCGGGCATGGGAGGTGTCGCCTCCTTTATCCAAGCAGTTACACTTCGTCCTATGATCCCAGAACTATTCGAGGCTGAGGCAGGAAGATTCTAAGTTCAAGCCCAGCCTGGGCAACTTGGTGAGACTCTGTCTCCACGTAAAAGTAAAAAGGGCTGGGATGTAGCTCAGTGCAGAGCGCTTGCCTCGCACGTGGGAGGCCCTGGGTTCAGTCTCCGCCACTGCAGAAGCCACACTCCTGACAACGTGAAGTCAGGACGTGTTCCTGCAAGCTCCAGACAGGAAGCGACTTTAGCTTTTGGGGCTTATGGCCTCTGGCACAATGACTTAACTCAGGAGCAGCCCCTGGTGGCATGTATGTGATCAGCTTCGGCTACTTCCAATAAAACTTTATTCACAGAAACAGGTAGTGGCCGGACTTGGCTCTGAGACCAGTTTGCCAACTCCTGATGCAGGGTGGGGTTTGCTGGCCGCTGAGCAGTCTTCTTCAGCCTGGACGTGTATTGCAAGCCTGTTTTAGGGCGGCATGCAGGGCCCCATGTTTGTCCCTGAGACCCTCTCCTGATGCCCTGGTGCTGCCTGGCTGATTTCTCTGCACTCTGTCTAGAAATGCAGACTCTGCCTGCACCTTCTTGCATCTACAGGGGCCTCAGCAGTGGCCCCAAATATGTTCCTGACCCTGGGACCTGTGAGTGTGACATGCCCAGGGACTCAAGGTGAGCTGGACCTCGTTGTCCTGAGGCCCCACCTTGACCTCAGACTTCTGCCTCCACAGGCTTGAACCTGGGGTCCTCCTGACTCAGCCTCCCAGAGTGTCACTTTTTCAATAAAGAAGGCAACATCCCGCCAAGCCAGGCCGGCCAGGCGGCCCCTAAAGCAGCCATCTGTCCCTGGCAAGTTCGACCCAATGACAGGTGACCTTGTGAGAGACAGAAGAGGATACAGGCGGGGAGGAGGACAGGTGGACTCAGAGCCAGGGGCTGGAGTGAGAGGGACACACGCCAGTGACACCTGGCGCCAGGGGAGCGGGGAAGCAGGAGAATCCCGTCCACACCTGGACCTCAGACTTCCACCTCCAGGACCTCGAGGGGCGGGTCAGTGCCGGGTCCTGCGGCAGCCCCAGCAACCAGCACTGGGGCATTTTCAGGACAAATGGAGCCAGGTGGAGGGAGGGAGGCGGCTGAGGTCTGCACAGCCGGGCCGTCGAGGGCTCCACAGCCCTGTTTCAGGGAGGGCGGGCGGCCAGCAGGAGCGCCCCACATGTGGCTGAGGCGGCACAGCCCTCTCAGCCCCTCCCCAGCCCCACCACCCCAGGCAAAATTGCCTTGTTCCAAAGCCGTATCCTCTGACGCTACCTGCCCTGCCAGGGCCCTCAGACTGGGTCGGGGTGGGGGCAGCTCCCTGAGCACTGCACGGCCAGGGACAGCGCCCAGCAGGGGGACACAGGACCCACACCCTGGCCGCCAGCTGAGCCAGCCCGCACCCTTCTGGGGCCCAGGTCCTCCATGCGCTCGGCTGCGAGGCTGAGATGCTTGGTTTCCCCGCCTACCCACAGGGGTCGGGGTGGCTGGGACCCCTGCTGCAGACGCAGGGGTGGGGACCGCACGTGACTGAGCAGAGGGCACTGGGGTCACTGGGGTGGAAGGCGACGGAAGGTGAGGCAAAGGGAGCCCCGGGCAGGGAGGCCACTCACCCACACCCGACGAGGGCTGGGGTCTGAGAGCTGTGAGCCCCCCAGACGAGACGCAGGCGCTGAGACGCTGACCCTGAGGGTGTCAGCAGGGGCTTCGGGCTGTGAGGAGGGCGGGGCGGTGGGCGGTCAGGGCCCCTCAGGCGCTGCTGGCCCCGCCCTGCGTGGACACAGGGAGGCCTCGCAACGACACCCCGACCTGTGCACGTGTTCACTCTTACACTCAACTGCTCACACGTGTGCACAGCACACCACGCCTCACCCACGGGCACCCAGTGAGGGCACGCTGGGCCCCGCCCCCGCCCCCTGGAGCTGCCGGCCCCTGAGAAGCAGAGGCCCCGGGCGCGCGGCGCAGGCAGCAGCACTAGGCCCGCACGCACCCTGTGCAGCAAGCGTGGGGAGCGGCCGTGGTCCACGCAGGCTGTCCAGTGTCAGCACAGCAGATTCGGTACCCAGAGTCCGATCCACCGTCCCGCCCTCCAGGGAGGCCAGCAGCGCAGCGCCCGCGAAGGAAGGCGAGAAGCTGGTGCCAGGCGGGTCGGCCCTTAGGGCAGTGAAAGACGCTCGGCCCTCAGAGCCCCCAGGTCCGGCCCCTCCCGCTCCCTGCCTCTGTCCCCGCAGCACCCAGCCCAGCTCATCCCTGAATGCTGCTGTGCTCCGAGGGGGTGGGTCACAGGACGACCACCAGCAAAGGGCCGCACAGGGGCCAGGATCGGGTGGCCTGCTGGAGGGCAGGGACCCCTGGGCATGGGCTGGGGGCTCTTCCACGAGGGAGCAGCACTGTCAGAAGGAACAGCCAGTGCAGAGGCCCGGGAGCCCCAGGGCACCCAGGGCGGGCCTGGCTGTGTCTCAAAGCCCACCCTGGCTGGGTACAGCAGGGCCACTGCAGACATGTGCCAGGCAGGACGAGGGGACAGAGGCAGCTGTAGGAGCCGGGGCAGCCTTCACACTCCGCCCTTGGGCAGCCAGAGAGGACGCCACGGCCCTCCTGAAGGGGAGCCAGAGGGGCCGTGAAGGATGGGGCGAGCCAGCTGTGTGGGCTGGGACTGGGACGGGGTCTTTCTTGGGCCAGGGAGGTGGACCCTCCGGGGGACACAAAGCTGGGGCACAGGCAGGCAGCTGGACTGGAGTCTGGGATGTAAAAATAACCGTGGAGTCATGAGCTCCAGATGCCGTCAGAGCCAGGGCTGGGGGCAGCTGGGGAGGAGGGAGGACACATGGACGGACAGAGAAGGGCCTGGAGGCCGGGGAGGAAGAGGAGCAGCAGCTACACCGCCCAGCTGCAGGGGAGGCTGGGCCCCTGGAGGTCAAGGTGACCTTGAGGCCGCACGCACCCCAGCAGAGCGAGGCAGGAGCCTGGGGGGACCCTGCTGAGCCAGGGCTGGCCGGGAGAGGGCGGGACACCCAGGGCAGCCGGAGAGCCCTGCGCTGGCCCGTCCTCCTGTGACACACGGAGGAAACCTGGCTCCTTCACTGTGCACTACTGCCTGGCACAGGTCACGGCCGAGCCAGCCCGGAACAGTCGGGCACAAAGTGGCAGGGCTCAGTGCTGCCTGCTCCGGCACCCCGAGAGCCCTGGAAGTGGCTGGGCAGGGCCGGCCAGGTCCCACCCGAGAGGACGCAACTGTCAGTGCCGGGACCCAGGCTATCAGGACCCCAGGGTCCCTGTCCACGGTGCCACCACAGGGAGAGGAGAGGCAGCCACCGGCCCGCCTGTCCTCAGCTGGGACATAGATGTCTCCCCATTCCTTCGGAGGACATGGCAGACATGCAGATAACCCCAAGCTGAAGGCCAGCTGAGGAGGGACCCTGGGTGCTGCTCAAGACCCACACGCTCCTGGGGCACCCGCTGTGCCAGCAGAGCCATCCACTGCTTGGGGCTGGGTCCGAGAGTCAGGCAGCCCCAGGGCACCCAGCACGAGGGCCTGGAGCCCCTGGTCCTGGACCTTTGCCATGGTAGTAACCACGTGACAGGGTGGCCTCCTGCAGGTCGATCTCCTGGTGCATCTCTGAGGGGGAATGAAGTGAAGGCCACCTGTCCCACCTGGACTGGGCAAGATCCTTTGGGGTTCACTACCTAGGACCACCCCAAAGCCCTGCCAGCCCTGGGACTCCCATCCCTCCTGGTGGCTTCTGCACCATGCCCAGGGCAGCCCTCAGGAGAGCAGGGAACAGGCCTCCAGCCTGGCACACAGGAAACCCTGTGGCTGAACCCCAACAGGGGTGCTCCCCAGGCAGAGCCTCCGGTCAGGGGAAGATGATCCCCGCCTCAGCGGGCCCGAGCCAGCACAGACCCTGACCTCCTCTCTCCAGGGGCTGCCTGGGAAGGACCAGACCAGACTCCAGCCAGGAGAGTGCCCCAAAATCCTGCCCTGGGCAGGGCCGGTGGGGACCCACACAACCCCAGAGGGCCCGAGGGGCACAGCAGCCTTTGTCCCCTCTGCACCCTGCGGCAGCCCCGCATTCTGCACGTGCCCTGATGCAGCTTTGCTTTCTCTGCCAACTGAGCTTCTCCCCGAGCAGGTGCCCTGCTGGGCAAATGCCCACCGCAGAGCTGGCCTTGCTCCCCCCACCCCACCCCTAAGCTGCCTCCTGGGGGCCCCTGGGGAAGGGAATCTCGATTTTTGTTGAGGGCCCTGGATTTCCCAAGGTGGGAAAGCAGGATGGGCCCTTTCTTCCCACACACTAGGCTCCGGGAGTTGGGGGCCAGGGGGCTGGAGCACCCATGGGTGCGGGGTTCCAAGGACCACCCGGGACCCCAGCCCAGCTGCGGTCACTGAGAGCTCCGCTCCGGGCTGGTGGGATGGTAGGCCGGCTGGGGGCCGTCACACCCCGCCCGTTAGCTCCCTGGCCACCCACCGCCTGCACGTGGGACCCAGACAGGCCTGTCAGCCGGGGGCCCTTGCACCTCCGCCGGGCAGCGCCTGCTCGTGTGCCGCCTCCAGGACACCGTCTGACCCAGGCAGGGACGCTCTTCCGGGTGGACCTCTGTCCTCGGTGACCTCCCTGGCCCCCTGGCCTCTGGGGTTCCCAGAGATACTGACCCCTGTGCCCCAAACACAGCTCAGTGCCCAAATCCACCATCCCACAGAGCGAGACTGTCCCCAGACCCCAGGCTGGCCTCGGAGCCTTCCCTCAGCCCCCTCCACCAGACAGCCCTGTGCCTCTGAGGACAGGGACCCCAGGCTCCAGGCGGCACAGGCTCTGGCATGAGGACAGAGACGCGTGGGGCTCCTAGAGCAGGGCCAAGTCCTGGCAGGAAGCGACTCTGTCCACAAAACCAGCTGCCCCTCCCTGGAAGTGGACAGACGCCCGGGCGCCTGCACACACCCCTGCCCAGCGTCTCCCGCAGACCCAGGCGGCTCCAAGGCACCTGTCCCCTGAAACAGCTGCAGCCCTCACTCTGCCTCTGAGCCCCCGGGAGAAGCTGGAGCTGCCGGCAGCTGTGTGGCTTCTTGCTGGCTCCACACTGGAGCTGCTGGCTGGGGGGCCAGGGCTGCAGGGGGCCCGTGCACTTTCCCCAGAGGTCTGCACCCCACACAAGGTCGGCGCCACTTTCCCGGGGTGCACGAGTGGGACACTGCCCACCTGGCCGCCCAGCCTTGGCCCAGCCCCTGATGCAGCTTGGGCTGCACCGAGCTGGGTGCCAGCACAACATGGTCCCCCAGTGCGGACAGCAGCTTTCTGGGGCGCCGTGCCACTCGGTGGGGAGGCTCTGAGCTTTGTCCCCCGCCCCCGCAGCCCCTCTTCTGCACGGGGGGGGGCACCACCCGGGCCGGGGCGGCCAGCTCCGGGGGCTCCACGGGTGGGCACCTTCCTGGCACCTGCAGCTCTGTGCGCGGCGGGGCCCTGGGCCTGCCGGCCGGCCGGGCTAACGGGGCTCTGGCTCTCCGGTTACGCTGGGCTGGGTTTCAGGGCTCCGCCTGGCTATTTCGGGCGCGCTGGCGGCCTCGACCGCGTCGCAGGGGCCGCGAGGGGTCCCGGGCGCCCACACCCACACCCACACCGCCCGGCCGCCTGCCCCGCACTCACCTGCCACCGGCGACGGCTTGCGCAGCACGAGCCACCTACTCTTCCACTGCAGGGACAAGACAGCGTGAGCGGCCGCCCCGCGCGCCCCCGCCCCGCGCGCCCCCGCCTTGCCCCGACCTTCTTGCCGTCCCGCAGCTTGACCTGGCCCTCCACCAGCGCAGCCTCGGTCATCTTCTGTCATGGTTCCCGCCCGGCGCCACCGAGCCGCTCCCTGCGCCCGGCACTTCAACCCAGGGTCACTTTCAAAATAGCTTGGGAGGGCCCTGGGCTGGGCCAGGAGGGCGGGCCGAGGCGGCGGGCGGGGCAGGGACGGGGCCTGAGGACCCGGCCCCAGTGGTGGGAGAGGCAGGGCCTCCTGCAGGTGCGGGGACAGCTCCCCTACACCTGGCCTGCATCCCCGCTGTCTGGCCACCTGACGCCACGCGAGGCTCCCACACTCAGGGCTCCACCCGCAAACCTCCCAGGGGGCGGGCCAGGAGGGGGCGGGGCGGGCCTTCCCCCAAATGCAAAGAAGCCCCTACCCAGGGGACAGGGGACGCTGGCGTGCATGGGACACTTTTCCAGTCTGTCCTCAACCTCCCTGGCTTCTCCCTCTGGCACCTCCCCTCCCCTGTGCCCAGGGGTCAGTGTGACCACAGGCAGCCCTGGCCCAGGACGTGCCCCGATGCCCAGGCCTCCTCCACTGCCCAGAGGTGGCCACTCCCAGACAGGGGCAGGACCACAGGGTACAGTGGTGACCTGCCTGTCCCCCACTCTGTCCCATTTCTGTAGACCTTGGTGTACATGGCACAGGACTGGGACCCATGTGCCCCCTAGTGCCCCAGATCTCTGCCTGGTCTCCCCCAGGCCCTAGCCGAGAGCCCGCCTTGCTAAAGGCTGGTGCCTGCTCGTCTGGCACAACGGGCACTGAGATGCCGCTGCTCCCCAAAGCCCAGCAGAGCCGGCCCTGGGTGGTCCCTCTGAGCCCCTGATCTCCTGTCCCTGCCCTGTAGCCCTGTCCAGTGGCCCCAGAGGTCTGGCCCGGGCTTGTTCTGGACCCCAGGTCTACACTGCAGGCACCCCACATCTGAAGACCAGGACCCAGGACTCAGGAGTCCCTGAGCTGGGGACAGCCGTGGAGATGGGGCAGTGTGCACCCGGGTCAAACAGATCCGGGACAGGCGGCACAGCCCTGTCCAGGGGCCTCCTCCGGGCCTCCTCAGAGGCAGTGCTTATGGCCAGCCGCACCCTACCAACGAGCATGCGTTGGGGGCTTCCTTCCATCCTGTCAGACCCCTCAGGGCTCCATCTGCCCCACACAGAGGAGAAACTGAGGCTCGGAGGGGCATAGACTCAGGGCCAGGCCAACTTCCACCTGCTCACACCAGAGCAGAGCCAGCCCCCTCCCCACCCCACAGAGTTGATTCTGAGGTTATCCTGGGGTGGGAGCGGGAGGACAGTGGGCACAGGAAGACACCCTGTGTGTCCCTGCCATCCATGCCTGACAGTTGCTGCCTCAGAGCCCCGCGACAGCCACTGGGAATGGATGGCCTGGGGGCTGCTGCCACGGATACATCCACCCCCTGGGGGCCTGGCTCTCGTTGGTCCCCATGGGGAGGGGCAGGGCCCTGTGCATTCCCAGGCTCTGGCTCTGGCCCAGGCCTCAGCCACGCCCGGCGCTGCACCTGCTCCCGCACTGGCCCGGAAATGCGGATGCAGTGGAGACAGGCAGCTCCCTTCCTGCTCCCGCTGGCCACAGCTCTGCAGCCGCCAGGGCTGAGGATGGCAGGGACATCCGCCTTCGAGGAAGAAGAGGTGGGCTGGCCCCTCTGTGACCCCGGAGTGGCTCCCACTCCACTCTGTGCCTGTTTCCCAGGTATTACAGCCAGGATTCCTGGCTGTCAGTGGCAACACGCTCCATCCCCGGAAGCAGGAGCAAGGTGACGGGAAGGGGAAGGAGGCTGGGCTTCTGCAGCAACAGTGAAAGGAGAGCAGCCCCACAGGGTGGGAGGGCAGCAGGCGGTGGTGACTCCTGGGCAGGGCACATGTGCACTGCCTGCTCTCACAGCTCGGTGCTACCCCTGCCCTGGACACTGGGGTAGGGGGACTGGTGCCACCCCAGCCTCGCAGCCACAGGACACTGCTCCCGGCCACAGCTCCACAGGGACTTCGGCCAGACACCACCACCACTGTCATGGCCATGCAGCTCTTCTCTGAGTCCTCCCCCGGCCTGTTGTTACCATGAGCTCCGAGTGGAGTTAATTCAAGAGTCTCATTTTCTAATAGTTGGTTTTTTGGTCTCACTATATAATGCAAGTTGGCCTGGAACTCACAGCGATCCTCCTGCCTCAGCCTCCCAAGAGCCGAGATTACAGGTATGCACCACCACACCCGTCTGTGTTTCAAAATGACCAGTTTTACACACCCAGGGAGGACCTGGGCAGGTGGGGCAGCAGGTGGCTCAGTGAGCTGGACAGAAACACCTGGCTGTCCACGGTCACTCACGTTCCCAGTATCCCCTCGGAGAGGTGAGGTCCATGCACTGAAGTGACAGCCACCACTCGTGGGCCCGGCCACTGAATGCACCATGCCACCCCCATCCAAACCCTTTCCATGGCCACGGGGCAGGACAAGGGGCCTGAGTCAGGGGACAGCACCTTTCTGTTGCCTTCGTGATGCCCCACTGTGGCCACTGCCGTGGCCTGGACCTGCAGTGAAGCATGCTGCAGGTGGGGTGGAGCCTTTAGGAGGCAGAACCTAGTGGGAGGTCTTTAGGTCCTGGGCGTGGCCTTTGAGGGACACCTGGACCTCAGCCACCCCACTCCTGTCTCTGCAGTACGGGGGATGGAACCTAGGCCTTTGCACTGAGCTACATCCCCAGCCCTTGAATTGTTTTTTTTTTTTTGCTACTGGGTATTGAACTCAGGACCTTGCACTTCGGAGGCAGCCAGTGGAACCACTGAGCTAAATCCTCGGCCTTCCCCAGCCTTTTTAATTTTTTATTTTGAGACAGGGTATATAGAATTGTGAGTATGTTAACAATGGCTATTTTATACTAAGATACACATTCAAGCGTGTTACAAAGATGATATCACGATTGTCATGCTAAAATATTATGTGTAGTCCTTGATTTGAAGCCTTTTTCTGTTAACATTCTACAGGGATTCAACCACTAGAACAACCATGATTGGCAATAATAAGAGTCTCCTAACTATGTTTTTATTCCAAAATGCTTAATATCCAGGTAAAATTATAATAGTTGAGTTCACTACTCCTCTTACAATGCTAATGTTATTGATCTTCTCTTCTGGGTGTTCACCAACCAAAGTTTAGAGACCAGAACTGACGAGGTATCTGGGCTAAGAAGGCAGCCAATATTTTGGCCCTGGCCCTCCAAGGTCAACAACAACAACAAAAAGATCCAGGTCATGAGGAACCTTCTCCAAGATCCTGCATCTTTGGTGAGTCAACCAACCTCCTGAGCAAGGAGGTTGCTGGACACCAAAACAGTAAGATCCAACAAAAACATGTCCCAAAGGAGTGTCTCCTGGAGGAAAAAATCTCCCATGCTTTTTGTCTTAAAATTATGTAGAATTGCTCCCAGCAACAGGGTCTCACTAACCCACTAAACTGCCCAGGCTGGGCTAGAACTTGCCATCCTCCTGCTTCAGCCTCCCAGGGTGCTGTCCCTCTCTCCCTCTCTCTCTTCCTGGCCGTGCACCCCCTACCCCACTTCCGCCTCGACCACAGGGCCAAAGCAAAGTGCCAACCCAGCACAGGCTGAGACTCCCAAACCATGAGCCTACGTAAGCTTCTCGCTCCAAGTTGGCTTGTCTCAGGTAGGGTGGGTGACTGAAAGGGGACCCAGGGACTCAGCAAGGCCAGACTAATGCCATGGCCAGACGGAAGTGTCCCCCAAGCATCATGGGTCGGGAATTCATGTTAGTCTCTGGAGGTGCTAGGTTCAGGTGAGGTCACACGAGGGCTCCAGGTGGCACTGGTAGCTTCAGAAGGACAGGGGACCTGGGTGGACAGCTGGCCCTGTGTCCTATGGGAGCCCTGCGCCAGGCTGCGAGGCAGCACAAAGCCTCACCAGGTGCCCAGAAGGTGCTGGCACCAGCGTGTGGACCCCAGCTCCAGACCTGTGAGCCGAACAAATCTCTGTGTCAGCCACAGTCCTGTCATGGGACACAAGACCTGAAACCTCGGCTTAGAGAGGAGGTGCAGTGTGGGTCAGTTTCAGAGGCTCAGTCCATGGGCAGCCCTCCAAGACAGGGCATCAAGGAGGAAGGGTGGTGGCGGAGCAAGACGCTTAGTTCACAGGGGCTGGGGAGCAGAGCCCAGACCAACACCAGACCGGAAGGGCCAGGGACCAAGGCCACACCTCCGTGAGCACCCAGGGGTGTGTCACACTGGCCCCAAGGTGCTCCTAATCCAGTCAAGCTGAAGACCACAGCTAACAGCCATGACTTCCACTTCTTACAGATTACCTGACCTCAGGTAATTTGTTATAGTAACAGAAAATGAACTAAGGTAACCCTAAACAACATTGTTCCAATAAATGTGAAAAATTTCACAAATTCATAAAATAACTTCATCTAAGTGACTCAAGAAGAAATGAAGTTCCCAGCCAGTCCTATGATCATTTAAGACCCCAAATGAGTACCTAGGGTCTTTCTGTAAAGAAGACACTAGGCCGGCTGACCCATCAGGGAATTCAACCAGACTTTAAAAGCTCTGGGGTGTGGGAAGGGCCTGGCTCACGGGGTCCCGGAACCCGGCTCGGCCGCGGCAATCCTCTGGCCCAGCACGGCTCCGCCTGTGCCCTGCTCCCCCTCTGCGGTCAGCTGCGGTGCATGGGCCCTGCTGCCGGCAGGGCTGTCCAGGGAGGCTGTGGTCACCCCGCCGGCCTCTGAGCACCTCCCACGCAGAGGACCAGGTGTGCAGGAGCAAGGCCAACGCAGCCTTCTGTCCAGCAGAGGGGGGCTTGGAGAGCGCCCGGTGGGCCAGAGCCAGGGTCTCAGGCGGGAGGAGCCCCAGCACCCAGGCACTGGGGACACTGAACCAGCGCCTGGGCGGCAAGGCAGGGCCAGAGGTGCCACAGAAATCAGAGCAGCTTGGGGTGCAGCACGAGGGATGCTGCCAGCCTGGGCCCTGGCAGAGAAGGCTGGGGAGGGACAATGGGCCTGTCGTGCCCCCCTGCCCTGCAGCTCCCAGTGGGTACGTGGGGCAGCTTGCCCTGCCTTGCACACCGGGGATCAGGGACCTCGGGGCAGACTCCGCTCCTCCCACGCCCGGCCCCTCAGCGCAGTCTCCCTGGGGGCTGCCGCCTGGAGCCAAGCGACTGAGCTGCGCAGAAGCCTGTCTTCCTTCAGGCCTGACATTTCTCAGGTGACTCAGCGGCGGGTCTGGACTGGGCCCTGCCGTGACCTGCCTGGGTGGCCCTGGTGGGCCTGGCCTCTGCCTGGGCCCCCGTGGGGCCACAGGTCCCCACGTCACAGAGCTCAGGTCGAGATGGGCTGGGAGGCAGGAGACAGCAGTGCAGCCGGGTCCCAGGGCCATCTTTATTGTCCTGGAGGTGGGCAGGGGTGAGCAGGCAAGGCTGCCCAGGGCCTAGGATGGGGGCGCCGGGGGCTTGGCAGGCCGTATCCGGTCAGTGATCCACGCCACGTAGTTGGCCACGCGGGTGTAGACGCCCGGCTTGTTGAGTCGCCCGCAGCCGTCGCCCCAGCTGATGATGCCGTACAGGTAGGCCACTCCGTTCTCCTCGCAGACCAGGGGCCCGCCAGAGTCCCCCTGGGCAGAGACAGGGCTCAGGGCCAGCCTGCCCCCCCCGCCGTGGCCCTTCTCCAGCGACCAGTGTGACAGGCTGCCCCATGGCCTAAGCTCCACCACAAAGGCTCCGCCTCGCTCTGCCCAGGGGCACGCCCCTCCCCCCCGCAAAGCCTCGGTGGTGACGCCCCAGGCACAACAAGGTCCCGTGCCGAGCCCCACCCACTCTACCCTCTGAGCTGCGCCACCTTGGAGGGGAGGTTTGACCTCTCTGGGACTCAGTTCCCCCCACATGGTGGGGCACAAAGCAGCCCCTCAGTTGCCCAGGGCTGTGCGGCCGGACTGGCTGGGCACTGGGCTGGCAGGAATCCAGCCGCCGCCCGGGCTGGGGCTCTCCCGGCCCTCATCGGAGGCCGGACATGGGCTGTGTGTGGCCATGTCTTGGCCTTGGCCTTCCCCACCGGGCACCTGTGCTGCAGCGCTGCAGAGACACCTCACGCCCTTGGCGCGGCAGGCCTGGCCCCCACCTGGCAGGCGTCCGACTTGCAGTCGAAGTAGCCAGCGCAGAGCATGTTGGGGCTGACGTCGGCGCCGTACACCTCGGGGCTGCTGCACTTGTGGTCGGCCACGATGGGGACCAGCGCCTCCCGCAGGGAGCTGGCGTAGCCGCTCAGCCCTGGGGAGAGGGCTTTCTCAGCGCAGGGCCCTGGGCGCCGCGCCCCCACCCGGGGCTGGCCACCTGCTCACGCTCGTCCACGTGGCCCCAGCCTGCGATCTGGCACTTGTGCCCGGCAGGGAAGGAGCTGCCAGGCTCAGGCAGGCAGATGGGCTGCACGAACTGGGAGCGCACGGCACAGCGGCCGCCCTTCTTCCTCAGCCGGATCAGGACTGCGGGAGGTCTGAGGTCAGACTGGGCCACGGCGGCCAGGATGGACCCGCCATGGGGGCGTGCGCGACCCTGGCCTCCTCCCGGGTGTCGGGGGCCCGACCGTCCGCCCCGAGCCCCAGCTCACCCAGGTCGTGGTCGCTGGGGTTGAACACCGAGTACCGCGGGTAGGGGATGTATTTCTCGATGGCAAACGTTTGCGTCACGTCCGTGGTGCGGTTGAAGAAGTGCTGGCCCAGCACCACCGAGACGCTTTCCCTGGGGGGGCTGCAGGCGGGGCTGGCAGGAGCCCGCGGACCCGGCCTCTCCTCCAGCCCCAGCTCAGCCATCCGCACCCTAGCCCTGGGCGCCCCTCCAACAGCCCTCACTCCTGCAGGGCAGAGCCGGGCCCCTGGGCCCCTCCACCCCCATCTATGCTTCAGTTTCCCTCTGCAGGGCAGGACCTGAGCCCAGCAGGGACAGATCGGGAGCAGGGGACTGAGAATGGGGAGCGGCGTCTGGGCTGTCCCCTCCTGGCCAGAGCCCGCACCCTCACATTGTGGGGGCTGGGAGGAGTGGGCAGCTGCCCACCCAGCTGGCCTGAGTCTCAGGGCTGCAGCCTCCGGGCAGGAGGTCACCCCAGTGACTGGGAGCCTGCTGAGTGGGCTGGCCTCAGTTTCCCCGGGTGTGCAGGGATGGGCTGGGGGCTCCTAGCGGGCTGTCACCGAGCCCTGGGGCTCTGGCTGGGGCAGGGTCCTCTCAGACCACTGGGCCAGGCAGCAGTCGCCCTGTGGTGCCCAGCACCAAGGCCTGGGTGGCCACTGGGGGACGGGAAGCAGATGATGCAGCCCACGGAGGAACGGAGGCTGGGTGTTTGACGGGACGCTGGCAGGGGTCCCGCTCACCTGCTGGAGAAGCAGTGGGCAGCGGAAACCACCCAGCAGGTGTGGATGAGGCTCCCCGAGCAGAAGCCATCCCCAATGTAGACGGCGGCCAGCCAGGGGTGGGAGCCGGGCAGCGAGGACGAGCCACCGACGATGCGTGGCCGCAGGAACGTCCTCTTCTTGTGCCTCCTGCCGCAGGTCGGCCGTGGGGCCGGGGCCACCTCGGGCAGCGTGGCCAGGACCTCAGGGGGCGGCAGATGGACTCTGGCCAGGGATTCTGGAGGTAGAGGCCACCAGATCACTCCGGCCCATGGGACAGGGCCCTGTCTGGACACACCAGCCTCTCTCCTGGGCCTGGCCCTGCGCTGGCACATGGCCACCTTGAGCCTCAGTTTCCCTTTCTGCAGATGGGAGAGCAGAATGCTGACCCAAGGCTGTGAAGGCCAGGGCAGCTGCACACTGTGGAGAGCCCTGGGCCCCTGGAGGCCACCTGCCCTCTCCCACCCCAAGGTGCCACCAGTATCCCCTGCCCAGCCCAGCTGAGTCTCGGGCCGCACCACAGGCTGCCAGGCGGCAGTATTCCCAGGAGAGTGCATGCTCCTTCACCACATAGCACCAGGGCTTCTCGTCCTTGTCTGGGTTCCTGGAGGGGCAGGAAGACGGCACTGGGGCACAGCCACAGGGTGGCCTGTGCTCTGGCCTGGACAGAGGAACCCAGCCCCCACCAAGCCTCGGGTGCTGACCGGCAGAAGGCATGGGGGCCTAGGCCCAGCAGGGCAGCAGTGCCCACCGAGTCCACGTGCAGCTCCTGGTAGAGCAGGTCGGAGTTCCAGGCCAGGCAGCCCAGGCCCGAAGCTGCCGTGCTGGCCACACCTCGGTACTCTGTGCCATTCCCCATGAAGCAGCGCTCCGAGGGCACTGCAGGCAGCAGGATGGGGGCCAGGCTGTGGGGCTGGGCCCTGGAGCCTGCCTTCATACCACCCAGCTGCCAGGCACCCACATGGCTCACCGATGTTGCAAAACCGCCCGGCGAGGCCCGGTGGGCAGGCGCAGATGCTGGTCCCGGTGCCCACAACGAGGTGGCAGGTGCCCCCGTTCAGGCACGGGCTGTTCAGGCATGCTGGGGAGGCTCAGCAGCTAGGCCTGGGCCTTGGGGATCCCTCTGATCTGCTGGGGGCCCAGGGCACCCACCACCGCCCAGGTTCCCCGAGCTGGCACGGCACTTGTACCTGTGTGATGGGTGCCTTCGCACAGCACCTGGCCACCCACGCAGTCACACTGCTCCACGCGCCCCTGGTGCACGCGGGCCCAGCGGTCCTCCTGCTCCAGGTACTCGTGCCGGGTCTCGTCGAAGCATTTTGCTGGGGGTCCCGCAGTGAGCCCTCACCCCTGCTGCTCACGCCCCTGTAGGCAGCTCTCCCACCCGCTGCCCTCCCCTGTGACCCTCAGGGCCCCAAGGCCCCTCACCGGTGCCGCAGTCCCTGCCTGTGAAGGCTGGGGGGCAGGTGCAGTGGTGGGATGTGGGGTCCTGGGGGCTGGAGCAGGTGCCCCCGTTGAGGCAGGGACCAGAAGCACAGGGGTCCAGGGCAGCTGGGGACAGGAGTGCGGCAGGAGTCCTCAGGGCTCAGCAGGAGCCGCCACCGGGACCCCTGAGCCGCCGCCCACCCTGTTCCCAGGGGAGGATCAGGCCTCTCCTTCCCACGCTCCCCACCTGGCACCTGGGCAGCTGTGCCCACAGCCCCGCACTCGGCACCTGGAAGGCCGACAGCCACCCCGCCAGGCAGCGGGTCCCACCCCACCTGTTCCTGGCTGGCCTCTGCAGGGCTGGACAGCACCACCAGAGGGCGCTGTGGCCCTGCCACTGGCCGCGGCCCCCAGCAGGCGGGGAGAGGAAGGTCCCTGGGCTGCCGGCAGCGGGACGAACTTGGCCCTCTGCCCTCCAGGCGGGACGTCGCCGCGGGCCAGCGGTCTCCCCCTCCCCCCGCCGCTCAGCAGTGACCCTGACCCCCCCACCCCGACCGGGCTCGGGCTGCCCCGCGTCACCCACCTGGGCCCTGCAGAGGTGGGGCGGTCTCCACACAGTAGCCCCAGGCCCTGTCCCGGTCGTAGTTGTGGGTTGTCGCACACCTGGGGGCGATGCAGGGGCACGGGGGTCCTGGCCATGACCACGGGGCACGCCAGGCGCCCTGGCCCCTGCTGGGCTGACCCACAACCCACCACTTCCTGCGGGCACTGCCCTCCAGGGTGCAGGTGTGCAGCATGCGGCCACCGTAGCGGAAGGGGAACCTGCAGGGCTGCCCAGCCTCCGTGAGCACTGCAGACGGGAGGGGACGGTGGGGCTGGGGGTCCCACTCACAGCCCACCCGGCCTCCACATGCGCCCCAGGGCCCACACCCCAGCCCCATGCACCCCGCACCCCAAGGCGGCCCACCGGGTGTGCACCATGTCCCTGAGCCGCTACCCACCTTGCCCCCTGAGGCTGCCGTTGGAGGGAGCCACCCTGTCTGCACGGAGGCGCTCCCCGCCTTGGGGCCCCTCTGCCTCCATCTCTGCCTCTGGAGCACGCCTCGCCGGGGTCATGGGGGTCACCGAGGTCGCAGGGATGGGGGGCACTCCAGGGGGGGCTGTGGCATTGGGTCCTGGGGGCTCCGTGTGGCTCTAGGAGCCGAAGGGTGGCATGGAATCAGTCGGGATGGGGGCCCGCACACCCAGGCCCCAGGCTCCCAGGCCCTGAGTCCGGATGGCCCGAGGCCTCTTGGGGCCCTGTCCCCTGCCTGGAGCTCCTGGCCAGCTGGACAGTGGGTCGGTTCTGGGGGCGGGGGGGAGTAGTTGGGAACTCATGAGACCCCACCTCCTCTTCAAACGTCGGGACCCGCGGAGCTCAGGAGGGCCCAGCCGGGTCAGCCCGCATCCCTCTCGTCTCCATGCCACCGAGTTCGGGGCCCGGCTGTGTCATCCAGGAACCCACATGGCCACACTGCGAGGGCAGCAGGGGCAGTCTCACCTCGCCAGCCTGGGGCTGGGCCCCCCAGGGGAGCAGCAGCAGAAGCAACAGGAGTGGGCACAGCCCGGGTGGGGGGCAGGGGCCGGGGACCCAGGCCCAGCACCCCATGGCTCCTCGGCCGGGCTCCACGGGGCAGCAGGAGGTGGGGCAGCCAGGGAGGTGGGGTCAAGGCCACTGGAGGCAATGATTAACCCAGCAGCCTGCACCTCGCCCAGTCCCCGCTGCCACGCACCCTGCCTGCCAGGGCAGAGCGGTTCTGTGCTGGCCTGGACCTGACCGTGCCCTTCCCCCACGGGGAGCCTCTTCCAGGCTGATGTGTCCCTGCCTGGCCCCCGGCCTGGCGAGTCTGTGAGCCTTTGTCACCACGCGTGGAGAGCCAGCACCCTGACACAAGGTGCCGCACTGCCCCACCCCACGGTGAGCTGGGCACAGTAGGGTGGCTGTGCTCAGCCCCAGGACGGGACCCGCTGCTGCCTCCCTGTGCCCTGTCCTAACTCGGGGCGTCCTGGACCTGGCCGCCCTCTCCCTCCCCTGTCCATCATTGGATGTCCATTGCTGTGGTTGACCTGCTGGGGCCCCCAACAGGCAGAGCGCCCCCCACCGTGCCCAACTCGGACCTGGGGCACCTCTGTCTTAGGACCCCCGTGCCCACGAGTCGGCAGCCCACAGGCACAGTGGGAGAGACTCAGCGCCCCAGAAAGGCCTGGGCATGGACGCAGCACGGAGTCCTCTTGCTGGGTACCTGAACCTCACTCTCTGGACCTCCACTTTCCTCCGTGCCAGGGTGGGCACAGTGCTGGGGACACAGTGAGACCTGGGGCACAGTGGTGCTGGGCAGGCAGGTGCTGGTGCAGGCTCCATGCACAAGGGTGCTGGTCTCCCACCTCCCATTCTGATGACCCCCACACCTGGAGCGGAACTGCCTGGTGGCCTTGCTGGCCCCAGGACTGCTTCTTGGTGCCGGGCCCCACCCTACCCCGTGATGGCCGATGGTGCCCTCCACGGGTCCCACACCTGGGAGGACCCCGCCGCTAACCCGACTCACTGTGCCCCAGGGCTCTGCCCAGGCCTGGCCCGCACCCCGGCCTGCTCTGCCTCCAGGTTTCGCTCAGACCGCTCTCGCCCTGCCAGGCCCTCCCGGACCACCCTCCAAGTTGAGTCAAGGGCAGGTCGTCGAGGGCATGGTGAGAGGTCCCCACGGCCTCGCAGTGGAGGACAGCACCCACCCAGTGCCGCAGCAGGGCCCCGGAGAGGGCCGGGGGCGGCCTGTGCCGGACAGGGGGCTGGGAGGACTGGGGGCCCCGATGTTGCCTCGATCCCTGCACATCTGGGGTCCTGAACGTGGGCACCACTGCCAGCTGTGAACCCTGGGCCGACCCCATATCCCAGCTCTCAGCACGAGGCCCAGCAGGTGTCCTCAAAGGCTTTATTGGTGGCACCGGGATGCCAGGGCAGTGCAGGGCTAGCAGGGGATGAGGCCCCCGTCCTCCCTGTGGCTCCCGAGGCTGTGGCTGGCTCGTCTCTGCCAGGCCCCAGGCTCATCTGCCAAGGCCGACGCAGCGATCAGGGCACCCACCGGGGTCCCAGTGAGGTGCAGGCCTGGCCAGGCCAGGAGGGACAGCTTCAGACGAAGGTGGCATGGTGGGCGCCGGGCTGGGCCTTGCTGGGCACCCTGGGCCCAGGGCTCTGGCCAGAGCGGTCTGACACTGGGGCCCTGGCTGGCCTCACCCTCCCAGGGCCCGGCCACATGCTGGTTGCCACGCCAGCGAGGTCCACGTCGAAGATCCTGTTGACCGGGAGGCCTCGGCTGTCACAGGCCCCGCCTCCTGTCACAGGGAGGAGAGAAGCTGTCACCCGCTGGCCCAGCCCTGGCACCCAAACTGCACCAGGGTCCCCGGCCTGGGCCAGACACTTTGGCACTGCAGAGCACGGGGTGGCCAGGGTGCTGGGGCCTCATGCAGGCCCAGGCCACAGTCACACGCCTGCCACCGCCTTTCCCACCCCTGCAGCTCCGGCCTTGGAGGGTCTGTCCACCCTCGGGGGGCTGCTCTGCCCAGCAGGACCCAGGTGACAGAGCAGGGCTCCAGGCAGAGGGCAGAAGTGCTGGGGTGCAGCAGCCCCAGGCCCTCCCCACCCCCAGCTCCCGGCTGCAGCTCAGGGACAGACCGGCCACCTGCAGAGGCGCCCGCCCCATGCCTCCCGCCCCCAGTGAGCCTGATTCTTCCTGGGCACCGTCGGTCCCCCCAGTCCTGCCCGGCTGCCCCGGGGTCGTCTGCCCTCGCAGAGCCGGGGCCCCAGTTGCCCCGAATCCGCCCCCTTACAGCACCCCTCCCCCAGGGCGCCCCAGGCCCAGGTGCCCTTCTCCTGCCCCGACTCAGCCAGCTGTCAGGCCCTGTCCACCCTGGCTGGCGGCGGCCACATGCGCCTCTGTGGAGCAGGGCTCAGGGCCTCGGTGCCCTCAGGGAGCCGCAGGAGGTGGGGGCAGCCCAGCAGGGGCCCCAGGGGACGTGGGGTCCCACTCCACCCACACCCTGGCCTGTTTCCCCAGCCGCAGTGGAGAGGCCTGGCCGGGGGAGGGGAAGACGCTGCCCTCCGGAGTCCCAGGGCCCTGACCCCACACACCCATCACACTCAGCCTCACGCCTCCAGAATGGGCTTCCACGAGGCCTTGAGGGTGGAGGAGCAAGGAGCAGGGCTCTCCCAGCCTCCACCAGAACAGCATCTAGACCAGAAGCTCCTCCCAGTCAGTCTTCCAGTCCCTCAACAACACTCTGCCAGGGCCTGCTGGGACCCAGTCTTCCCCCTGTCCCCTGTGTGCCACGAGGCCTGGCGACAACCAGGGAGTGGACAGGGAGGCTCACCCCATCGCCTCTCAGGCCGCCCCCAGCCCCCAGCTCTGGAGCCCAGGCTTCTCAGCCCTACACAGCTTGAGGGCTCGGGACAGGGCAGCTTCTGCAGGGCCCGGAAGTCACAGGGACGGGGGCCACAGCCCAGGCCCTCCTGCCTGCCTGGCCAGTCTCACTCGAGCACATGGGTCAGCAGCACCACCCTGCCCCCGCCCCACTGTCCTCAAGGGCCCAGGCTCACAGGGACCCTGCAGGGCAAGGCTGTCCCTCTGCCCCCACCCCACGGGGACGCAGCCTCTTCCTGAATCTGCCCCGTGCTCCAACCTCCTGCGTAGCCAGACCCTGCCCTGTCCTGAGGAGCCAGGAGACCCTCGAACAACGAAGGCCCTGCCACCACCCACCCCAGCCTTTCACAGAGGCCTGGAGCTCCCCCTGCCCAGGTCACGGGTCATGCCCACCTTCCTGCAGGGCCCAGCTCAGGAAGGGGTGGGCTGGGCCAAGGGTCCTCACACAGCAGCAGGGGCTGTGACCCAGTGGGGCCATGCTAGACTCGGACTAGGGAGGTGAGGGGGTACCACCGCTGGCGGCCCGGGAGGGGCTGCAGGGCCCCAGGGGCAAGGGGCTGGGTGCGGCCCAGTCACAGTGTGGCTGCCACTCCAGACCCAGCTGGACACTGGAGGGAGGGCAGTGGGAGGTGTTGGGGATACAGTGTGAGCAGCAGGACAGGGAGAGGGGTCAGCCTGGGCATCTGCAGCGGGGCCCAGGACTGAGGGCCGTCTGGCCCAGCTGCAGGCGAGGCCCAGCACAGGATGTGCTCTGGGGTCTTGGGACTTGGCCTGTGGTGTCCCCTGGCTCAGCAGTGATGAGCCGGCAGGGTGTGACATCCCGGCTGCGGGGGTGGGGGGGGTGTCAAGCAGGCTCCCAGGAGTCTGGCCATGCTTTGTGGGGCACTGCTCTGGGTACCTCCGAGCTTATTCCTGGGCCTCGGGCCCCCGGTGGGTGACCATGGGCAGGGACAGCCTCCCCAAGAGCCACTCAACCTGACCTGTCTCTCTGGGGACCCTGGCACTGAGATGTAGGGACAGGAGACCTCTGGGCTCAGGACCTCAGCCTGGCCACAGCCCTCACCAGCCTCATCTGCAGCCGGACCCTGGCCTGGCCTCCAGGGGCCTTGTGGTGAGCCGGGCCCTGGAGGGGTGGGAACAGCTCTCCAGGGGCCTGGGGTCTGGGCAGAGGAGGGCAGCAGACATCCTGGGCTCAGTGAGCACCAGGTGATCCTGAGTGTGGAGCCCAGCAGAGCCACTGAGGGCAGCACCCAACCTTCCCCAGGAAGCGTGGAGATGTGCGGCCTGCAGGCCGGGGGCCAGGCCACAGGGCATGGGACTCACAGGCGGCCCCAGCCCCAAGGCGTTCAGTGGGAACCAAAGGGCTGGGACTGCCCGCGGGGGACACTATCCTGGGGGACTGTTCCAGCCCTGGGCCCCGGGGTGCCTCTGTCCTTTGTAAAATCCAGAAGAGCACTTCCGGCCAGGGCTTCAGACCCAGCTTCCGGGCTTCAGCTGCCCAGGGCTTTTCCCTACCCCAAGGAGACCTGGATGTTTGTGCCAAGACACAAGCACACACACGCCACAGAGACCCACACGGCACACGTCCACCTGAGCCCTGGGCCCTCAGGAAGGGCTCTGGCCTGGCTTTCGCAGGCCAATGGGTCGCCGGCCACACTCGGGAGCCGACGGGGAGACGCCCGTGTCCAGGACTCTTGTCCCCCAGCCAGGCGGCTTCCTCACAGGGGACCTGGCCACATCTCCGAGGAGTGTTTCTCACCCGGGACGACGGCAGTGGTGGCCTCTGTGTCACTAACAAGTGTTTCAGGGCAGCCCTCGGAGTCGGGGGAGCGTCTGGGAGGAGCCCAGAGGGGTGCCGCCTCCCTCCTACACCCCGAGAGCGGTGTCAGTGTTCAGAGAGAATCGTCGCCGACAGAGGAAGGTCAGACAGCCAGCCAGATGGCCAGACGGGTAGCCTTGCCAAAAGGGGCCTCCAGCACGTGGGGTCCCCAGAGCTGGATTCTCGAGCACTTGCAGCGGGCCGGCGCCTCCGGGAAGACCACAGGGCACGGGCTGAGGAGCCGCCCCAAAGCCCTCCGGTGCCATCGCCCCTCCAGGACGCAGCCTTTGCACTACTGTCGCTCCGCCAGCCGCAGCCTGGGGGGCTGCCCCGGGGAACCTCATGGCCGGCGCAGCCAGATGCAGCTCGGCCACAAGGCCAGAGTGAGCAGGAGGCCGCGTGGCCGCAGGTGGCTCTGCTGCTGGCGGAGGAGCACACCAGAGGCCGTGGGCTCCCCGCTCTGGGGCTGCGCAAGGGCCCAGGCCAGGAGATGCGCCCGCGGGCTGCATTCCAGCCGCGCCTGGGGACTGCGACGGGGACTGGATGGGGACAGGGACAGCCGCTGGCTCCCTAACACCCAGCAGCCTCTGCCTCACATGCAAGGGCCTGAGGATTCGGTGGAGTGAGTGGAATATTTTTTAAGGGCAGTGTATTAAGGCAAACTCATTGAATTTCCTCAAAATGTGCATTACTTCCTCTAGATTAAAGAAAGCACAACTATAGTTTTCCAAAGAAGAAACACGTTTTCAAATGAAGAAGAGAAGAGTTTGAAGCAGTCCAGTGAGAGACGAGAGTTTATTACTGTTGGAAGAACAGACAGAAGACGCAGGTAGAAACCACACACGGGCACCTACACAGGCACGGAGAGCAGCGTGGCCACCAGGCTGCCAGACTGGCTGCCCGCCGCCCACAGCTATGCCCGCCAAAGTGCCCGCTGTGTGCAGGTACAGGGAACATGCATTGGGAGCGGCCGCCCGGCCCGCTGAGGTCGTCCTGGGCCTCCGACCGGGTAGGGGAGGGGACCTCTGCTGTCACCCCACAGCAGGCCACGGCCTGACACTGGGTGCAGGGCCCCTCCCTGCGTGCCCCAGGAAGCCTGTGCTGAGAGGCGCTCGCCTCCCGAGCGGGCAGCTCTGCAGCCGTGTGCAGGGCCTGATGCTCCCAGCCTGCACGTCCAGGCCGAGGCTGCTGGGACTCTGCTGCCTGGCCCTGCTGTCCACTGCCACGCACACTGAATGTCTCCACTCCACCCCCAAAGCCGGCTGTGCTGAGGGCGGTGGGTACCACTGAGGCAGGGGGCCTGCCCAGGGCCCAGTTCATGGTGGGCATGTGGGTCCTCCATAGGCCACAGGGGCTGGGCTTGCTCGCTCAAGACAAACTCTGTGCTCTTGCCATCTCGAGACTGAAACACTGAAGGTGCCAGCTTCACAGGCTTAGGCGGACACCCACACTTGCAGAAGGCCCGGCCACGCTCAGGGTCCTTGACCCCCTGCCTCCCGGGCCCTGGCACCCTGCAGGGGCCACTCCACTCTGGTCCCTCTGCCTGAGCCCCTAGGGACACCCCTGGGCAGCCCCAGCTGCCACCCAGCTCTCCTTCCACAGAAGCACCGAGGCTGTCACGCACCAGCGGAGGCAGCAGCACCCCACACAGGGCATCGGCAGAGGGAAGTGCCGGGCAGAGCCATCACCACGGCTGTGCCCTCACTGGACACCAAGTGTCCACGCCTCAGGCAGCAGGAAGGGCAGGGCCGGGGTACAGGGTCAGAACCCAGAGGTACCTGGTCTCGGAGGCCCCGGTGCATCCTGGGGGCTGGGGGGCGGCGGCAGCAACGTGCTGTTGGGGCTGCTGATGTCCCCCTCCCCCACCAGGGTCAGGTCGGCCCCCGACTCGTCCTCCGTCTGGATGCACCCGGCCTCGACTTCCCGAGACTGCCTCCTCCAGACCTGTGTGGCGCCCTCCTGCGCCTTCTGCCCGGGTGGGGTGGCCCCAGGAGGCCCAGGGGGGCTGTGCGCCGAGCCGGGGCTCTGGGCTGAGCCGGGGCTGGTGGTGGGGCTGTTGCTGGGCAGGGCCACCTTCTCCCCGCTGTGGCCTGTGGTTTCAGGTCTCTTGCTAAAGCCCTTGGCGGGGGCTGGGCTACAAAGGGCGAGTTCGGTGCAGCCAGGAGGTAAGCGGAGAAACTCAGGCAACACCAGGTCTTCCTTCCTTAGCAGCCCACGCTGGTCATCTGCTCTGTTGCTCTGAGCTTTGGAAATGAGCTCAAAAAACTCTGTTGGAAGAAAACCCACACGAACCACATTTCAGAGATTCACATGATGCACAGCACAGCAGGGCACTCACCCAGGAAGCGCCTGCCCAGCGTCACCATGCCGAACCACGCTGCAGGCCAGTGCGGGCGAGCCCACCTGCGACCCGACCCCCACCCCGTTCCTGCACGGCTATCCTTGTGTAGGGACAGCTGGCTCCACGCTGCCCTCAGAGTCACGCCGCAAAGTCCAGACCAAGAAGCTCAAGGCCCGGATCCGCAGGTGAGGTGCACGGTGCCTGGCAGATGACCACCTGGTCCCTTCGTGCCTGAGCTCGGGCCCCTCTGAGGACCAGGTCAGAGTGACAGCCAGACAAGGGCCCAGAGCCAGCCCCGCCCCACTCTGCCTGGGGTCACGTCCACCTGCCTCTGTGCTCCCCGTGGGGCAGAGGCCAGGCCCCCAGGCCCCTGAGGCCTGCACGCAGCCCGCTCAGCCCTGGCTCTGCAGCACCCTTCTCTTCACTGGCCTGGGCCTGTCGCTGCAGCTCAAGCTCCCCGTGTTCGAGCACAGGTCTTGGACCCCAGCTTCTCTAGGTTTTACGTTCCTCTCTCTAATGAAATTGAACTACCCAGAGTCTAAAACTCCTGATTCCAGTGGTCCTCAGAAACAGGCGTGTCCAAGGCCGTGTCCCACGCCTGCTGGTGGACAAGCCCTCGGTCTGGCCAGGGCTCCCCGAACTACAGCTCGGCCACAGTGAGCAGCAGCTGCTCACGTCGACCCCCATGCAGCCTCTCTGTGATGAACTCTTGCAAGGCAAAGAAGACCCGCTGAGGGCTTCATCCTCTTCTCTCCTGGGGCCTCTGATGGCCAGCAGAGGTGAGCACACCCACAGCCTTGCCAGCCTGGGACCCCACTCCCCTCTCTTGGTGGGACTTCCGAAGTGTGGCACCCTATCGCTGACTGCCGCCCCCACACTGGGTACCGGCTCACGTCAGGGGTCGGGCCGAGGGTGGAGGACAGGTGGAAGTGGGGCCAGGTGAAGTCTTGGGGTCTCCAGGCTCTGCGGGAGGCCTGGTCTTGGCCCACACAGGGTTTCAGCAAAATTACACTGAGAGCCTCAGGGTAGCAGGGACCGCAGCTGCCAGCTGTGGACAGGGCAGAGTGGAAACCGGTAGTGCATTTACTAAAAAGTGTGGAAGTTTTAAAAAGTACACATACCCTCTGCTTCGTCCAAATTAATTTTCTGATATTTTTTTTTCCCAATCTTTGCAATAGATTCTTCTCTCTTTGAAAGCCGGGGATCCCTAGCATTTTTTCCATTTTCTCCTTTTATTTTAATAGAATTAGACTTGCCTAGTGTTCTTTCCTCTCCCTGCATTAGAAGGAAAGCCACAGTTCTACTCACATTTCAACACACGAAAACACACCATGCATCAGTCACAGACCAAAAGGCTCTGCAGGCCCAGAGCACAGGGACGCGGGATTTGTGCGCCCTGAGAGGACCAACTGCAATGACACAGGACAGAGAACAGCACCGACGGCTCAGCCACCCCCAGGGCGGGGGCCGGGAGGAACCGCTTGTGGGCCTTGGGGACCGGCACGGGCGCCTGGCCCTGGGGAAGAGCCTGCGGCCCACAAAGGGCAACAAGCAGGCTCCCGGGAGGGGAGAGGCCTGGCCTGGGCAGCTGCAGACTGGGAGGGGCCAGGACAAGAGGGACAATGGGACAGGCGTGCAGGGATTACCGTAGCCGAGTGGTTTCTGGGACCGGAGCTGGCGGCCGCACTGGGCTTGGCCGGGGTGCCCTTCTGCTTATCTGTGGATGCCAAACACAACAGGGTGAGCTGGGACCCGGAGCTGTCTGGTGCTGAGCGTCATGGGCTCTCCAGCTGTGAGGAGCCTCGGGTGTCCGCCCTGCCTTGTGCGAGGTGCGTGTGCCAGCCGGCAGCTGAAGCTCATCGTGGGGCCCTGCCCGCTGCCTCGGCCTCGGAGGGCGCAGGGGCACCGGCTCATCAGTTAGCTGCGCCTTCTGGAGGAGTGCTGGTGAAGAACTCCACTCCACGCCCTGCGCCCTGCATGGTCTGGGGGAAGTGGAAGACGCTCCGCGAGCCCTGCTTCCCCTAGCCGGTGGCGGGCCGGCCTCGTGGTACCAAGTCCGGTGAGCACTTCCCTGGCCCTGCCACCCAGGGTCACAGTGCTGCTCCCGTCACAGCACAGCCTCCCCATGGGCACTTGCCACAGACACGCAGGGCCCAGCCTGCTGGGCCCTGGACCCAGCCCCTCCACCTGGACAGGCCCCTGGGCCACATCTCGCAGCAGCCACAAATAAGACTCGCCCTGTGGATGCAGTGCCACCCTGAAGAGGGGCACAGGTTCCTGAGGCGCTGGGGAGGCGCAGGGCTGACAGGACAGGGTTGTCACAGCAATGCACCAGGTGGGAAAGAGCTCTGAGCCACACTCGGCCTGGCCCCAGCTCCTGCTGGGCAGGCCACGCCCACCACGGTGCTCAAGGCCCGCCCGCCCGTTTCCCCCAAAGGGACAGCTCCGGCCAGGGCAGCAAGTGAAGGACCAGCAGGGGCCTGGTCCTGCAGTGACTCAGGTCCCCAGGAGAGGGTGCCTCCTCACACTGTGGCGCAGAAGCTCTCCGAATCTGGTGGGCAGGCAGGGACTGTCCCGCCCACAGCTGGGAACCGTGTTCAAGCTCTCCTCCCGGTGGGCAGGCCCGCCCAGTGGGAGAAACACTGCTTGCAAGGTCAAAGGCATGTGAGAGGTCCAGGCCCCATGGACGCCCAGTGTCGACACGGGCAGCACTGCCCACACCCGAGCAGCAGGCTGGGCAGGAGGCCCAGTGATGCACCGTCCGCTCACCTCTGCCTCTGGTGGGGTCCCTCTCCTCCAGGACGACCCGCTGTCCATCCAGGCTTGATATCGGGGCTCCGAGGTCCAGGGGCTCCTTCTCTCCACTCTGGGGCAGAGACCATAAGCTGAGGATGTCGCCAGACTGGAACCTTCTGGATGGCTGGCCCACAGCCCTTCGGCCTTCCCAGCGCGAGTGGGGGGCCCGGGGGACCCTTGGCGTGGGCTGGAGAAGCCTCGGCCGCAGGTGAGCCGTGTGCACACAGGTGTGACACCACGCTCAGCGACAGACACGGCTCAGTGTAGTCAGCGCTGCCTGTGACCTTGGTGCTGGCTGACCTCACTGGGCCCCGAGCAGACACTGCGCCTTCGGCAGGGTGCCTGGTGCAAACTGGGGCAAGTGGAGCTGAGCTCCTGTCCTTTGCTGGAGAACCTTGCTATTCATGACAACAGCACTGATCAGAAAGCAACCCAGCATGCAGGCTGGCACTCAGACTCCTGGTCCCCACGGACAGCAGAGCGCTGGGCAGACGGCTGCTTGGGAGGGGCCAGGCTGCAGTCTGCTGCCTGCTGGCGAGGACAGGTGCAGGCTGCTTCCCTCAGATGGGCACAGTCTTCCCTGAGAGCCGCCGTTCAATGGCCAACGGGCCCTGACCCCTGGCCAGCCCTTCTGCCTTTCATTGTATGGACAGGGAAACTGAGGCACAGGGCCCAAGAGACTGCTTAGGTTCTCGGCAGAGTGCAGGAGAGGGGGACCTGGGAGCCCTGCAGATTTTCGGACGTGGGTGGAGTCTGCGCTGGGGAAGCAGCCTCGGGTTACCCTCACACTGGGGTCTGAATGGCTGAACAGAGGGAAAAGGTTCCTCTCATTCTCAGCAAAGCTGCTAGGCAGTTCTGAGGCCAGGCTCAGAGCAAATGAGAAACACGGCCCCGACAAAGGCAACGAAGGCGAAGTCAGGCAGACGCTGGCCCAGCCTGCACAGCACCTTGCGGCCAGCGCCCCCTGGCCCACTGCTGGCCTCGGTGCCCATGGGACAAGCCGGGTCCGCCCAGTGTCGTCCTTGTCTCCTCATTCACATCATGAGCCCGGCTGCAGGGCCGGGGAGGTTGGGGGCTGACAGGACCCAGCACAGAGGCCACAGCACCACTTGGGGTCACACCCGCCAGCGGGGCCCTCGGGGTTAGCTGGCTGCTTCTCGTTTTGGTTTCTCTGGAGCAAAACTGCGAGAATCCTCTTCAGAACGACGACCAGGGCACTAACCAAAGGCCACGCTCCCTGGTCCTCAGGACGACGGCCGTTCCGCCCCGTGAGCACAGCGGCTGCCACTCACCAGCCTCACCAGCAGGTGGCCCAGGTCCAGGCCGTACTTGGCCACCACTGGCCGGAGCACCTCCGTGACAGGTTTCGTGGGCTTGGCCTTGAGTCCCACAGAGCGGTTGATCGGAACAAGGTCCAGCCTGGGGGCGGGAACACAGCCAGAGGCCCCACGTCCATGGCGTTCAGGACCCCAGGACAGACAGCACAGAAGCACGCGCAGCCCACCCTGCCCCTGGCCTGCGCGCTCTCCCCGGGAGCGGTGTCCCCCCCCCGGCCGGCTGGCATTTAGGGCTGGGTGGAGCAGGACACGTGGACCTCAAGGCGCCGAAGGGCAGCCCCCTCCCGCTGTGGTCTTAAGGCGCGGTGGCTGCTCCAGGGCAGCAGGAGGCACCCCCTTGTCTGCCCTCCCGACCCTCACCAGGTGCCGGGGAGTCACCCACAACCCTCGTTCCCCGGGGAAGTGTGGAGGCCACAGTGAGGACTGGTCTAGGAATCGGCCCAGAGCGCACACTGTTCTCTCACCGAAACAAAGTGCGCTTCTCCAGACGCAGGTCCCTTGATGCCAGGATGCTGCTGTCCTGATGCAGCACCAGAGGCTTGGGAACAGAGACCAGGGTTAGAGCAGGGACACGCGGGCCCTGAGATGCAGAACCATGCTCAGTGGGCACACAGCTGTGCAGAACTGAAGAGCAGCGTCAAGAATAGCCATGCAGGGGTGGGGACTTAGCTCAGTGGTTCTGTCGCCCGCCTCACAAGCGCAAGGTCCCGAGTTCGATCCCCAGTACCAAAAAAAAAAAAAAGAACAGCCATGCAGGAGAGTGTACGAATCTCCAGGCACCACCCAGTGCCAGCTCAGCCTGCACCCAGCAGCACCACCCGATCCGAGACTCCGCTGACACCCGGCCCCCGATGCACCTCGGGAGAGCAGCATGGCACCCACAGGCGTGAGGCGATCGCTGTCCTCCGAGGGCCCAGTACCTTGTCCCCGCCCACCAGGAAGAGGTCCACCGCCGCCCCATTGATGCCCTGCCGCTCGCAGAGGCCCGACAGGATCTCCTTGATGGAGAAGCCCGACTTGACGGCCACCACGCAGGACGTCCCGTCCGGGAGGTGGATGCAGCAGTGCTTGGCAGCCTTGTCCCTCTCTGGCACCAGGGTCCTGCAGGCCTCTGGCTGGGGGCAGGGAGACAGCAGTGTGGTCACAGGGTGCGGGTGCCTCCGATGCAGCTCCACGTGAGCTCAAGCCCCGGGGCCCACTGACAGGGCACTCTCCACCAGCGAGCAGCCTCGGCCCTACACCCAGGTCCTCACTGGAGGGCAGTGGGCGCTCTGAACCAGGGGCACTGTGGGGCACAGCCGTCGTGGGAGCAGGGCCACCATCCTACAGGCAGAGGCCACGCGTGGGAGCCTCCAAGCCACAGGGACAAGTGCCAAAGCCAGGCACACTGTCCTCCTGGGTCCCTCCGTCAGGAATCAGATCCCATCTGCCAGCAGCATCTTGCAGATGTGGCTCTGCTGCAAACCCAGCAGAGCACTGTTTCACCTAAGCATTGTGTAGGAAACGCCGGCGGGTGGTGACGGCTGAGAAGCCCCAGGTGCCCCCTCCCCTATACATGAGGCTCTGTGAGGGCTGGGTTCTGTCGCCGTGCTAGGACCTGAGCTGATGGGGCTGTGCCACTGGCCAACCTATGTCTCTAGGGGCCTCCATGCTTTGCTGGCTCCCGGTCCTCGAGACCACCATGGGAACAGGACTAGGCGGGTGTGGAGGATGCAGATGCCTGGCCCAGCCACAGCCACAGCCAACCAAGGGCAGACAGGACAGTGGCCTGGGATAGGCAGGACCAACCCACTGACCCCCAGGCACAGCACAAGGACAAGGTTCCTTGCTCCCATCCACTGGGCTTGGGGTTATCAGGCAGCAACAGCTGGTGGGTGCATGGCAAACCCTGCAGCTCTAACCCGCCCTTGGTGTGGTGCAGAAGAAATACCCACACTCACTGCCGCTCGGCAGTTCTGAAGGACAGGACACGGGTTCCCAACTGACCAGGCACCAGCTCAGACACCAGCAGGCCGAGCCCCCGGTGGCTGCTGCAAAGGCTCCTGCATGCGTGGGCAGGGTGGTAGGGCTCAGAGCAGGCGCCATGTGGCTGCAGGTTGGGGGTGCCAACCATGGGATGGTGAAGTAAGAGACAGTCAGCGACAGCAGGACACAGCAGCCGGCTTCCAAGCATTTCGCTTGCTCTTAGTGGGAGTTTCACCAAGTCAGAATAAAAGGGTCTGAGAAATAAGACGGAGGATGATTTTGGCCCCCAAGCTGCACCTTCTTCCCCCCGATAGCTCCGCACTCCTAGGGAGCCTGGGGCTGAGCTGTGCGCACTCCGCTGCTATGCCTGTGTGCGGAGACCAATGCTGGGGTTTCCACAAGCCAGCCGAGGCGGCCGTGGCCCCAGGGACAGGGAGAACGACCACTCACCAGGTCCAGGCTGCCTGTGGAGGACACGGAGCCCTGGGACTCGCGGCGGCACAAGCTCCCGTTGGCAGGAAGGGCGTCTTCGTGGGGAAAAACAGAGACAGGTGAACAGAAGCCACAGCTGCACTCATCCTACCTCCCAGCCTCTGCCCTCTCAGGCTGCACACACAGGAAGGACAGGAGAGGATCTGGGAGCCTGGGAAGCCCTCTGGCCCCACCTGGCCACACTGGGTGGAGTCAAACACATTTCTAATTGCAGAGGCCGAGGCCAGACTCAGCCCTCGTGTGCTGCCCACTGCCACCTGGCTTTGGCTTGTCTGGCAAACGGCAGCTGCTCCGCAGACAGCAGTGTGAGCATGTGTGCGGGGTGGGTCTGCCTTCCTGCCACACCACCTGCGACTTTCATCTAAGTGCAGTTCCAGGGCCTGAAGAGAACTGTCCCGAGGACAGGAGCGGCCCCCAGCTGGGTGCTGCTGCTTACCAGGGCACACAGCATGGCTTCTTCCCCAGAAGCCCGGATAGAGGGCGCCAGCTGCCGTGGTGCTAAGCTGTCCTACCGGGAGCCTGGGCTGCCTATGCAGCAGGAAACCTGACACAGCCCAACTCCCAGTCAGGCCATGGCTCCGGGACAGCAGGGCTGGAGGACAGGAGGGCAGAGGTGCAGGTCGTCCCAGGAACTCCCCAGATCGCTGGCCCACCCCAAGGAGGAGGTCCCCAGGCTCCATCAGAAAGTCTGGAACCAGAAGTGCAGCCATCAGAATCCATCCTTTTCAGATGACTGGGCGACCGCCAGGTGCAGGCCTGGATGGGGCACAGGCCACTCTCCTGGCCCCACTGAGCACAAGGTCTGTGCCTCAGGAAGTCTCCTGCTGAAGCGATCCCACCACCCTCCCTCTGCCTTTGCTCTGAAAGCAACCCTGCAGCGGGAGCAGGAGCAGCAGCAGGGCCTGGCCTGGCCACCTTCCTCTAGAACCATCTTGGTTGGGCTCACCCGGCTGTGGTCACTACTCAACACAGCGGATACCAAGCTCGGGGACCACAGCTTCAGGCGGGACCCTCACTTCTCAAGATGATCCCTTCAGCGAAAACCTCTAGGGGGAAATGCGCCGTCCTCCTAGGTGTGCAGCACTAGCTCCACAGGTTCCCGCCTGCAGTGCGGCGTCCCCAGCACACAGCTCCATACTGCCAGGCAGAAGCGAGGCCAGCAGCAGCCCCGCTCCCAAGCCCCTTCCAGGGCCACACAGGACTGTCTCTGTCACCTTCACAGAGAACATTGAGGGTGACAGCATCCACATTCACAGCAGAAATCACGCTGAGATGTGGAGATGGTACACACACTGTGCAGTGCTAGACCGAGCCAGGGGAGCCAGCTGCCAGCAGGGCACAGGAGAGGGCTCCATGTTCCCTCTGTGCCCTCGACTGCACTGCCAAGCTCCGACCAAAGAGCCTCACAGCAAGAAGTGGGCGAGGAACACAGACCGGACATTGCTGCCACAGCCCCTCACCCCCGCGCACGCACCCTGGGTGTGGTCACTGGGCTCCTTCTTCTTCTGGGACCGCCCTGTGCTCCTGCTCCTCGACCAGGAGAAGAAGGCCCCTTTGCGCTTCTTCTCGCTGTCCTCGTCCCCCGCGTCTTCATTCAGGGATCTTCCCGACTTCGACTTCCCGCTCAGCTGTTGGTGAGTGGAAACCTCACTAAGGCAATGCAATGCTATCCCCAAACTACATGACACACGCAACAGCTGAGCGGGGCAAGCTGTGTGCTTGCACCACAGCCCGGATGGGGCCTCAACAGGCTGAGGGCCCAGCGCATGCCGTGGCCAGGTGTCTATGTCCCTTGGAGGCCCGGCCTCATGCCATCACCAAGGAGATGGTGCCAGGGACCCGCAGCCAGCCCAGCCCCAGCCGAAGCCCCAGCCGAAGCCCCAGTCGAAGCCCCAGCCCCGAACCTTTTTGGGCGTGGACGCGCTGGAGTGATCAGAGCCAATGCTGCGCTTGGAGGCTGGGCTGCTGGGCACCTGCTGGGCATCTGGGAGGGCCCGGCCCTCCACCTCCGCCAGGATGCACTCCTGGTACAGCTGCGACTTCAGAAAGCGCGTGTAGCTGTCAAACTTCATCAGGTTGAAAATCTGGGAAGCCAGCACAACACACTATGGTCACAGAGGCACAGGGCCGGCCGCCCTCAGGGTCCAGGCGGGGGCCAGATGCCCACAGGCCTGGCCCTGGAAGGGCATCGCTTCAGCCGCTGCCCTGGCCCCTGGAGGCCTCCGGTGCTACTCTCCAGCAGCCTTTAAGTTTTTCTCTTTCTCTGACCAAGCAGCCCTCCCTGCAACACCCTTAAAAAGAACAGACTCTGAGCCGGGCAAGGTGGGGCAGGCCTGTAATCCCAGCTCTCAAGAAGCTGAGGCAGGAGAATTGCCAGGAGTTCGAGGTCAGCCTGGACTACATAGTGAGACACTGTGTTTTTTGAAAAAACAGAACAGATTCTGGCAATTATGTAAAGCTGGCAGTGTGAGCAGACTCAGCTGCCGACTGCCACCCAAAGAGGCCCTCCTCCCTCCCTTGCGGGCCGTTCATTCCCCTGGCTGGGCAGGCTCTGGGGAGGCCAGTGAGTGTGGGCTCTGGATGACAACGGGTCTCATCCCGCCACCTCTCAGTCATGCACACAGGCAGCCCCCGGTCCTGACAGTGGGACTCGGCACAACTTCATGGTGGCACGGCAGCAGTGTGCACGCAGGAGAAACCAGACTGGGTCTCCCCAGCTGCGTGACGCAGCACACCCCTCCGCTCCTCTCATGGGTGTGGGGCCCCGGTCAGCCCTGCCATCATCAGGCACCGTGAAGCGAAGTGAGCCTGGTGGTGAGCCGTGGCGTCACCCCTGGGAATGTCGTTTCCCTCAAACACGCATGTGTCCGAGCCCAGGCCTGGATTACGGTGGGAACCGCAGCCACGTGTACCTGCAGCTGTTGTTCCTTGAACATGTCTGGGTGCGGTGCATTGAGGATGTCATCCGCCAGCTGGGCCTGGCTGTCGATGTTGACGGGGGTGGTGGCTTTGCTGCACAGGAACTTGCTGAAAATCTCCCGGGCCCTGCAGGAGAGCTGCGGGGTGGAGAGGTCTGAGCGGCCCAGGCTGCGGGTCCACAAGCGCATTTCTGCCTGTGTCGTGGCCACACTGCCGAGGCCCACACCACTTAGGCCCCACCTCAGACATCCCACCAGCGCTTCTGGCTCGAGTGCATATACAGGAGCTCAAGCCAGTGAGCAGCCCGGAACTGCTCCCTGTGTCCAAATGGCCACGTTAGGGGCCATCGGAGCGGTGCTGCCCCAGCAGCCCGGGCGCCCTGTAGGAGTCACACAGGGGCTCTGAGCACAGCGCAGCCCAGGAGAGAAAGAGGCTCAGGCCAGCGTGCCCTCCTCGAAAGTCCAACACCAAGTGGGACGCGTCTGCTGGTGAGAGCCGAGGCTCCAGCATTTATACCACTATGTTTAGCAGAACTAAATATCACACATATTTAAATTTTTACTCCAAAAAAGAAACGACCTTTTTCAGATGGCGTGGAAACATCTCCCCCGTCAACTGCTCCCACTGCGCTGGGCCTGAGCCCCAGGCCGCCGACCCCTCCCACCCATCCACCACCGCCTCCACAGCCCGCCCGCTGGCAAGTTCACCTCTTTCTTGTCGTGTGCAGGAACATGATTAAAATATTCACAGGCCTGCCAGAACAGAATGTTTTCCTCACTGAATTCCTTCCTTAGAAAGTCCTGCGAGAAACCCAAGGTGAGCAGCACCCCTCCACACGCAGCCCTCTCCAGGGCTGGAGACATCTTCCTGCACTTTCCCTACTTTTTCCTTCCACAGGAACCTGGCCCAGCACCTCCCAGTGACCACCCGCAGGCCTCGAAAGGTGAACGCAGAGCTGCGCCGCACCGGGGGACCACGCCCTGGCACCATGGCTGTTTTCCTCCTGCTGGCTGTGCCTTCCTAACACCGGACACGGCGCGTGTGGCTGGCTTCCAGCACCACCAGGAGCTTCACACTCCCTGTGGCAGAAGCCCTCAGGGAGGGGAGCCCTGAGGGCGCGGGGTGGGGGCAGCAGAGGGCAGGGCCAACCGAGCCCCTAGGTCCACCCCACTCTGGGCCCTTGAGCAGGAACAGGGACAGGTGACACCTGTCTGGGGGCTGTGCAGGGCCTGCAGAGTAACGCGAGTCTCCAGCGATGGGTCCCCCTAAGGCAGCTCTGCCTACTCACAGAGAAGTAACGGATGCCAACAGGGTCCTGCAGCAGGCGCTCGAAGGACACAGCCCAGCTGGCAACCCTCCTCTCGCGCAGGCGCCGGCAGCTCTGCACACTGGGGAGGCTGGCATTGCTGCTCAGGCTGTTGCTGCTCACACAGTCCTTCAGGTCGGCACCCGTCAGCTCTGTGGACCAGCACAGACACACCTGCAGCCCTGGCCTGCTCCTCCAGAAGTGCCCCACTAGCCCCGGAGGCTAGGCCCCTGCATCCAGCTGTACCCTCTCCACACCTGCTCAGACAACAAGCACCACACCTGGACCTGCCCAGGATGGCGCCCAGCCCGTGCAGCCACACACACTTGCTCACACGTGTGCACACCCTCATACACACCTGTCCAGCTGGAATGGCAAATGACCAACATAGGATGAGCAAGAGAAGCAACTACCCATGAACTCAACTGCACACACAGAGCCTAGGAGGAGACAACAGCAGCCCTTCGGGGCAAAGCTCCGGATGGGAGAGGCCATGACTGGACGCAAGCCCATCTAGGTGAGGTCCTGGAAGGCCCAGGACCCCGGGGGATGCTGTGCTCTGCTCTGTGACTTGTGCACTTTTCTTCGTGTGGCCTCTTCCCAGTGGAAACATCAGACCCCGTATCCAAATGCGTGGATCTAACCTGTGTCACCTATGACCCATTTATGGTGATGCGGGGTGGAAACACGCTGTAACCTGAGCAGAGAGGAGGGATACAGGGAGCCCCCCATCACCTGGTCCACCTGAGGGGGTAGCGTGGTGGTGCCCCCCCACCCTGGGGAACCGGGGGCCCGAAGAGCACGCAGGTCGGCGTGCAGACATCATAGGAGCCATCGCAGTCCCGGCAGGACGCAGCCCCAGTGGGGGGTTGCCCTACACGGTGATCCAGCCTGAGCCCCAGAGCCAACGCTAGTGAGGCACAGCAGGCACCAGCCTGGCACTGTGCAGCCCAGCGAAGGTGACCCCTGTGGTGGCCAACAAGTCTCATGCGTTGTCTTAGGAGCTGCTGCTGCTGCTGCACACGTTCCACTCTCCTTTGGTTCCTTCCTCTGCTCCAAGTTCCGAACAGACTTGACCCACTGCTGGCCCGAAGACCACCCAGGCTGCCTGCATGAGGCTGAGGCCACAGACAGGCTCTGGGTTCTGGCTTATGGGCTCCAGCTGCAGGCCAGCCGCTGACATGTCCTCACAGCAAAGAGAGCCGGAAGACAGTCACGGAGGCCGGGAAGGGGTCAGCAGCGACACTGAACCTTTCCCCCTGTGCCTGTCTGCAGATGCACGGGGAATGCCCCTGGGCCTGCCGCCCGGGAGCTGGCCACCGGCCTCCCGGGACACAGTCCTTTGGATCTGTGCTGTAGTCAGTGACTGCGCTTGGCAGCAGCTGCTTCAAGCTCAACCAGCATTCAGATTTTAAAAAGAAGCGAAAAGTCAGAGGAGCCACACAATTTACAGTGCTACAGAAAAAAAAGACTCTCGAGCCATTATGTAACGGCTCTGAATTCACACAAGGTCTGCTCTGAACCCACCATGCTGTCTGTGCTATTTTTAAGATAAACATTCACTGAGCATCAGCCACCAACTCTCCTGAGGACATGAGGCAGACCCGTGGCCAGGCTTGGGCACACAGCTCCCAGTGGCCTGCCCGGCAGAGGCCGAGCTCACCACAGGGAACTCATATGGGAAGGCAGCAGCTAGTGTGGCCAGCACTGCTGGGGACCAATGACCTCACAGGGCCACCGCATCCACCGTGCATCTGGAAGATTCCCAGTATCCCAGCCCCATAGGGAAAGCTCTCCGATCTGTGTGTGTGAGGCACAAAACACACTCACACGAGCACATGCGCGTGCATCTCCCATGGTCCCTCTCCAGGGCTGGCTCTCCACTGCATGCATGCCAGGGCCTGGAGCTCCCTAATTTTAGTACATGTGCTGCCAAAGTGAACACCTGGAGCTCCCTAAATGCACAGCAACCTCGACCCATTCCCTCAGGGGACACTCTGTGGGACTGGGCAAGCTGGAGGCCGGCTCCTGTGGAGGCCTGGACGGGAGCCGGAGCTCGAGCAGGGAGAGCAGCCAGTCAGGGCTGGCTCACTGCCGCCAGCAGACTGCCGCACACAGGGCCGAGGAGGGTTCTGGGTCTGGGCAAAGCCAGCTGCACCCCAGGAGGGAAGACAAAGCCCAAGAAGAGGCCCTGATGCTCATCACGTGGTGAAGACCATGGGAACCGGAACCAGATCACATCTGGAAAGATCCAGCTGGACTCCTTCCTTCAACACCTATGGCACCTGGGAGGTTTCTCAAATTCCCAAGTAAGAAACATCCCTGAGGGAAACACACACATCTGAATCTCCATGTGGACCTAGCACGTCAGGCCAAGGACACACAGGAAGCTGGGAAGGCAGGTGCAGTATGCAGAGCCCGCGGAACCTCCCCTCCTGTAGGGATGCCCATGTGAAGGACAACAAGGAGGAACATCCAAAGGAGGCAGAAGGGCAATGCGGCCACCCCCAAGCCGAACAAGGCGCTGGAACAGGCAGACACAGGTCAACCTCACCGGCAGGCGCTGCAGGGGACCTGAGCTCCACAGCTGCCTCAGCCTCCTGGCTGACCAAGACCAGGGGCTCAGAGCCTCTGAGAAACAAGGTCCCCCCTGCATGCTGATTATCCCCATGGAAACAGCAATCAAAACTTGCATTCGGGAGCCCCAGAATCCTAGGTCAGCATTTAAAGCACAAGTCAGGACCTCCAGCCTCCATGAGGTCTCAAGGCTGTGGCGGCCGGATGCACCCCGGCCAGCAGCAACACTGGCTCACCACACAGTGGGCACCGTGCCGGGCACGGAGCAGGAGGGATCCCCCTTCTGTCTGAATCCCACCCTCCAAGGGTGCACTGCTTATTTTTAGGAGTAAGACCATGAAATCCACACAAAGGAGCAAGGGTCAGTGGTGTCCAGACCCACTAGGCTCCACCAGCACCAGCCCAGCAGGAGGAAACCAGAACCAGAGCTCACACTGTCCAGCATGTGGCCTCGGGCACCCCGGTGCCAGTGCTGGGTCACAGCCCACTGTACTCTGCTGACAGTGAGGTAGCTCGCTGTTTCTACAAAGCTCTGGAAGAGGCTGCACACTTCTCCACCAGCTCTGTTCCCCAGGGAGCCCCGCCCCAGCCCCAAACCCTGCATGTCTGGGCTTCTGTCTGCCCCCAGCCCAAGGCCAGCCGCCTGGGGCAGCCCTGGATCTTGACCCATCGCTGACCATAGGAGGCATCGGGTCGTGGAATAAGTGAGTGAATGCTGACTAAATGTCAGCCAAAGATGACCTGTATATCGACTAAATTCATTTTTAGAAGAGTTGCAGACACTGAGGACTGCATGAAACTCACATCGATACTGACAGCTTCAGAGTCGAATCAAGACACTTTACTGTGGTTGAAAAAGCAAGCAGGTGTGGCCTGGTGTGCCAGGCTCCATGACTCTACCAGTGTCCCCGCTGTGAAATCTCACAGCTGGCCAGGTGCAGGTCAGCCTGGAGCTCGGTTGTCCCGGGCACGGTGTCATGTAGAGGGGGGCACAGCTCCCAGAAGACAGCCTCGGGCAGCGAGGATGACAGGGGAGCGCACGGGCTGGGGGAGAGGCCAGGGTGCAGGGACCTGCTCAAGTGTGACGTCAGAGAAGCGAGGGGACAGTCACTTCAGCTGCAAATGAGCCACCTCCCCAACAGGTGGGTGAGGCCATGTGCCAGGTGGGCTGGCTGGTGCAGGGAGGAGCAGCCACCACCTGTGACACCTAAGACTCAGCTCCGCCTGTCTGTAACCTGAGGGCCGCTGGTGGCTCCTTGCTGAGGCTTCGAGAGGGTGCTGGGGCAATGCCCAGGCCACTGCCCGTGAGGACCGTCATACCTGAGGGCCACACATGCATCACAGTGGGCAGGCGGAGGCAGCACCAGCTCTGCAGCAATGGCCACACAGAGCTCCTCCATCAGACAAGCTCCTTCTGGACAAAACCTGCACCCACGACTTGTGGGAGAGTCGAAGAGCCCCCCAAGAGGCCAAGGCAGGAGGCGTCATATGGGGTCCAAGTCTCGGCACCCGCTCGGCGGTGCGCCACACACAGAACCCAGCTCCTCCCCGACGTGCACATCAGCTGGCGCTCCCTGACCACGGCTTGCTCCATGCACGCTCCCACATGGAGGACAGCATGCATGGAGGGCCCCGTGCCACCCGGCTCAGAGGCAGGGGAGTCACAGCTCCACCCCAGCTGCCAGGAGGCAGACCCCGGGCCTGAGGTGCGCTGCCCCGAGTCACCTGCCGACCTCAGGGTTAAGCACTGTGGAAAACCACACTGCGTGCTAAACCCAAGGAGAAAAGACGCCCAGGGAGTCCCATCACCTAGGCCAGTGGGATGAGCCTTGTAGAGCTTTCCATGAAGCAAACAGCCACTGGAGCCCACATGTCACAGGCTCCACCACTGCCCAGGTGAACACTGCTAGCTTTGGCCACTGATGGGGGCTCTTCTCCCACTTGACCGTGTGAGCCAAAGAAATGCTGTCCTCACAAGAAAGTTTCCTTCTTTCCTTCCTTTTCTCTCTCTTTTCTTTTTGAGGTGCTACGGAACCCAAGGCCTCATGCATACTAAGCAACTGCTTTTCCACTAAGTTTTACAAGTCTATTTCAGACTTGCTGAAAGCTGGAAATGCTACCACATCCACGTTAGCAGGTGAATCATGTAGTTCATGTTGCAAGGGTCAGCAGTAACCCCAAGAGGAGAGTCTGCAGTTGATTCTGTAACACGAAGCTGCAGCCCCTCATTGTCCCCGGCACCCGTCCCACTTGGTATCTCCGCTCTCAGCCACACAGCACAGGCCCGCCCCGAGGCAAACATACCTGAGGACCGCACAGTCAGCCTGCCCTGACAACCATGACAAGGTGACAGACGCACGGGGGACTTTACCTGGGTACAGCCGATAAGAGCCACTGTGATGCCATCTAACCAAATACTTCCAACCATTCACCGTAAACCACCCCTCTGAATCCATACCCGGGTCTCCCGCTCAGCCCGGGCAGCCCCGGGCAAAGGCTCGGGCCACACACAGGGACATTGTTCCTTAGCTCAGCCTTCCCGGGAGGACAAGAGCTGCAGCTTCTGCAGGGGCCC